TACATTTTTGAGGAGGTGCGCGTCAGGCGACGGCGAAGGGTACGCGCAATGGGACGCGTCTGTGCGTATGCTACGCCGTACCTACTGCGCGCACCCTACGCAGAAGTATAAATTGGCCTTATGTCCGCTTTGTCACACGAATGTAAGTTACGTCCCCGCCCCAGTGCGCTCACGCCTACTAAATAAACGCCTCACCTCCGGCGCCGCGCACTCGCTACATTCCCTTTAGCCTTTAGCACATCTAGTGGATGCATAACGCAAACCCAGTCAAACGTTTGACTCTGCAGTATCTTATGTGCCTTATAATCCAGTGTGCGCGACCTATATATTAATACTGAATCGGCCAGCTGCGATGTCAGCGTCTGTCTCATGTTTGTCCACAAACGCAGCTGATATACCCTTCGCAATTAAGTACTTCACTTGATCTTCCATAATAGCTTGGAGGGGACATACAACTACGTTTAGCTGATCTTGAGAAATGCTCATTGTCACTCACATAGGCCACTCATATAAACACAACAGTTTTTCTTCCGCAATCACATCTGCGCTTTGTTTCCCGGCGGACCGAAAATAAACGCGACACTGACGCCCCCCGGAAATCCGATAAAATTCAACCAATCAGATGACGACTTCGACATTCCTGAAGTGTTTCCAGTTAAGTGTACCATATGCATCAGACGTTAAGCCAACGTTCCGTGGGCGTGACGTCTGAGGCTGAGACTAGGCTATACCTGGTTTTATCTGTGGTTATCATGATCTAAATGCATGATACTGAATGACCAATTGTTAATTTGAATGCAACTCAAACAGTCAGAATATTACTTTTTACCAAATAAAAATGTGGTTGTTACATAAGAAAAAAAAAAGGAAAAAAAAACAGATGTTACTGTTTTTGTTAGTGAACATAAATTTAAAGAGTAGTTTAAAAACACAATTAACACTCTGGTTTATACAACTTTGTTGCAAAAATCTGCCTTTAAACTTGAAAAAATAAATATTTGACATATATCGTGATAATTATCGTTATCGACTGATATAAAAAAAATTATCGTGATAATTTTTTTTGGCCATATCGCCCAGCCCTAATATATATATATATAAACAGTATAGTTCCGTCTCTATGAAGCCCCTCCTTCCGAAAAGCGCAGTGTGCTCTGATTGGTCGGCTGGACAGTGTGTTGTGATTGGTCAACCGTTTTGAGCGTGTTTGGGAAATGTCACACCCCTGACCATAACCCATGTGTTTTAACACACAACTAACTACTCAACCAGGCCTCGTCACATTTTTACGTATGCCTTGGGCGGGAATTATTTAAATGAGGAATATTGTGATGTGTCTGTCACCGGAAGAAAACTACAATGGAGGACTTTCAGGGAATTCAGAAAAAGAGGTAACATTGGTGTGGTTTGTAACTTTGCAGACCTTTTTCATGCTCAAACAGCAGCATTATACTATAGAAAGTTGAAAATATAAAAAAAGCATAATAGATCCTCTTAAAAATCAAATGTTTAATCATGCTTTGCTTTCATGGTGTGTAATATGCACACAAAAACTCACCTGCTTGTCTTTCTTTGATTTTTTCACTTTCATTTTAATCTTTTTTCCTGATATCATACTGTACTTGCCACTTTTCTTCTTTTCCTTAAGATACTGGGGATGACAGAAATTCTGTTATTTCACTTTTTACAAACATTAAAAAAAAAAAACACACCACATCTCTAAAATATGATGACCAATATGAGGTTGAGTCGAGCACCTTTGAAATCTGAACAGGTCCAGAGCTGTCGTCCTGCTCTTTGTGTCCCTTTTCCTTCTTTCGCTTGCGTATCTTCTCTTTTCTTCCTTTCTAAAATAATAAATAAAATAAAATGACATATTTTGGAACTTGACAGTCCCTGGTCACTAACTGACATTGTATGTCTAGACAAGTTGCATAAAAATTACATTAAAATGCTTCCTTTTGTGTTCCAAAGAAAGAAAGAAAAACAGTATACAGGTTTGTAACAACGAGGATGAATAAATGATACATAATTACATAATTTTTACTGTTGTGAGAACTGTCCTTTAATACTTGCTCTTGACCAAAGTACACAAACATACAGATTCAACCATACCTTTTTGCCATGTCTCTCTTTCACTTTCTTTGAAGATTTCCTTTGCTTTTTGCAAGAATCTAGCAGGAGAAGCACAAAACAAATTGACATTTCTTGACACGACATGCAGTCCAAGACAATTTTCCCAGCAATGGGGCAATAAAGTATAAAGTAAAGTATCTCATCTGCTACATCATAAATCTTTATTTTATCAATTTAAATGATTTCCTCTTTCCTGTTAATGAAGTATGTGCAGTTTTACATCTACAAAATTTCTCTTTAAGGACTATACACTTGGGAATGAAGCAAGACTTATATTAATTGCTGTTTTTAATGAGTAAATGGTTTAATATAGCATTTTGAATTTAACTTACCTGAGTTACTGGAGCTGGAGTTACTATGTGACGATGAACTGCTGGAAGAAGAGCGTGAAGAAGAGGATGATGACGAGGAGGAGGAAGATGAAGAACTGGAAGATGATGAGGACGACCTGCTACGGCTCCTTGCCCGTTTCCGGTTTTCTCTTCCTGTTAATACATTTAAAACACTGTAAGCAAAATGATTCCTGCATGTTCATCTAGTCAGGGTTAGTGATCCTGTTCTCCACATTTCCTTTCCTTTCAGCTGTCTTGAAACTCACCTCTGCTGTGGGAACTACTTGACTCACTTCTCTCCCTTCGGTCCACTTTGGCAGACTGAAAAGAAACAAATAAAACATGATAACAAAGCTGAACATTTAGATCCTTTAAAATGTTCAAAATATGGACGATGAATCGCAGGCGTGACTAGAATGTACACAAGTTCTTCTCGCACAAGAAACTAATCATTCTACAACCATTTACTTCGCAAACCATTCACATTTAATCTATATAGATAGAAACAAAAGCTTGTGAACCTAAACGAGAGAATTAGCTACAGCTTTATCTTAAGTTTAACGAGAATGTTGTCTTTAATGCATGCGGTTCAACACTTTACCATGTTTATGTTAAACTGTCCTCAAAATGCGGTCCTTCCGCCCACAACAAAAAAATCTGGAAAATCAGAGGAATAGCACAATATGATTATAATCCGTGCTTAAAATAGACTGCGGAGGATTTAAATGCCTCTTTTTCATGTCTGTGATCAGTGCGTGAGTATCAATAAGATAAACACCACTGCGCGGCCATCTTATTTTACGTCATACAAACTAAATTATCCGGGTACTACTTTGCAGCGCAGGCGCGCGACCCACACGATCATGTATTTACAATTAATTTGCTAATAAAGTTTCTCTACAACCTTATTCATTCATAAACGTTTTGTCCAGTCCGTTGTTGAAGCGGCACGAAGACGAGGCTATCAAGTAACAACTGTTACTTTTCTAAACGCTGACAAAAATCAACATACAGACGCCTCATTGGCCAGTGGATTGGACGTCAACGGCGCCGCCATATTGGTCCGGGCAACTTGCCATAACTCTCATTCGTGTACTGAAGTGAAGATCCCTGGCTATTTTGACACGTCGGTGTCAATTTTTTATATGTCAATGGTTAGTCATTATTGATCATTAAATGACAATTTATCAAATAATAATATGTAGCCTATGGCTCTACACATCCTGACATTTAAATTCGGCTTTCTGGGCTGTCACGCACATCAGGATAAAATGTGCCGCTTTTTAACATAATGGAGGACACATATGGTGTGGTATTGGTAGGTTCCGCCCATGGGTAGGCTATACTGCCAGACAAGATATGCTACCAATGTTCACATCTCTTTTATTGGAACGCTAAGATGTTAATAAACAGTTTCTTTTGCATATCGTGCTTTATTCTTATGAAAGCATAAAAGTCAAGAAAGCGTGACAGCAGAAACTTTCGCTTATCTGTTTGTAACCCAATTTGCTAATATCTTAATTAACTGGACCGTTTATAGATTAAGTAATTCATATTCCATTTTTTAAATATAATAAAATAGATAAAAATGGATAAATAGGCTTCAGGAGGGTATACCTATTTCTTCTGCCATACATACCTTTTTCGACAGGGGCCGCCATCGAGTAAATGAAACTAAATTGTTGCCACCCCCATGTACTGTCTCTAAAAAGAACATTATTGCAGTTTGTTAGTTTTTCAATATATATTGTTAGGCTATACTTCATATATCATGCATAAAGGGTTGTTACAATAATAAACAACAGTAATTGTTGCAAGAAAGTTGAAGGATCTCTCTTTCGGTTGTTGACTAATAGAGTGCTGTAACATACTTTTTTTGTATGTTGAAGTTTTCCTCACCATGGTTAGTCTCAGATGTCACACCCAAGGACACAGAGAAACTGGTAGCCAGGCAACAGACAACTGACCAATCCTGAATGGCGACGACACTATTCTACCAGCACGGTTAGTAATCGTTCCGTGCCGAAACAAAGCTCAAGTAGGTTAGTGGCTAAAGATGCCGTAACGCCAAACCCTCTGATCGAAGAAGCAAGCCGTCGTGTTTCAACTGTGACAATGAGTGCTTATCAGGATCAACTAAACTCTGGATTTTCATATGTAAAATTTGCAGCATAGACTCTTTCAGATATATTCAAGAGTTTTCAACACTGTTCTGTTATTGTAAAGACAGCGACGTTACATTTTCATGGGCCACGGCCCTTAACATGATTGGTTGCTTTACATGTCATTCCTTGGCCAATGAAAACTGTTATGGAGTCCAAACATTCTGCCGCGGGTCTAAAGAAAATGGTTTTCTGGTTACCAAATTATTATAGTTCGATTAGATGGAGTATAACATATCATGCCATACCACAGCAAGGCACAGCACTAAAAATATCTTAAAACCTTTTTACAGAACACAATCTCTGTTACTCACATCACACATTAGCACCCTTAAATATAATTAAAAAAAAAAAAAAGAAAATTCAGATATGCTGATTTTATAAATGACAGTAAAAGTTTAATACATTCACAGAGTTTTCAAATACAAAGAATAGATGAGGTTTGGGAGTGAGGCATGTGGGAACACATACATTCAAAGACAAAAAAAATAAATCAGTAAGTCAGCTTGCAAGGAGTTTTTCCATAGCCTCTTTATCTTAAAACAACACGGCATTTGGAAGTCTTACCAAGTGCAAGCTGTGACTTTCCGATCACGTCAACTTATTTGTACTATGAGCTGAAAGTTCAAGCAATGTAGTAAAAGAGCTTTTATGTAATGCTGTTGTATGACATCATAGTTTTACAATAATCCTGACAAAAAAGTTTTAAAGATACAGTGGCCCCAAAATGTATTTGAACACTACATCACACTGAAGACAAATGGCTAAATGCCATTACATTTAATCAGTTGGTCCCAGTGTCCTTTAGTCCTTTGGGCAGTTTCTTAACAACTAGAAAGTGTCCAAAATGTATATTTTTAGACAAATTAAAAATTAAAATGTAGTCTTTTTATCAGTGTATATCTTGTTGTTTCATATTTTTCAATCTAACAACCTGGAAAAGTGTGCGTGGTTATCTTTGTTTTAAATACATGTCACTTTATTTGATATTTTAATTATTTATTTATATTTTTATGTTTAAATGGGACTTGAAATACTTTTTGGGGCCACTGTTTGCCTGAGTTCATATTATATGATTAGAAATTGTGTAGAAAATATAAAAGTCAACGCTATATTTGTTAGTTTTTCAGGATACAATAGTTTTAAATACTTCTTATATCATTGCATAAAGGGTTATTACTGATCACATTAATAAGCAACTATAATTGTAGAAAGAAAGTTGAAGGATCTCTCTTTGGATGTGGACTAATTGGCATGATTGTAAAAAAATAATAATTTGAAATTATTGGTCAAATTCATATCTAGTGATGATTAAAAATGGGTGTGTAGAAAATGAAAAAGCAAAATTCAAAGCAAAATTATTTTTGATAAAAGGCACTTAAGAAAAAGTCTCACTTTGGCTCAGATATTTGGCATGTTACAGTGAGCAACTAGTCAGTCAGTGTCTGTTAAGTGCAGTTCAGCAGATGACAACAATAACTGACCCGCACTTTGAGTTAACTCAGTAACCTTCTGGTAATACACTTTAACTAATCTTACATTTCATTAGGCTATACACTGTGAAAAATAAATTGTTGTTTCAACTTAAAAAAGTAAGTGTTCGTGCTGCCTTAAAATTCTAAGTTTAATCAACTTGAAATAAAGTTGCACTAAGTGACTACTTGGATGTTTGAGTTGAGTAAACTTACATTTTTAAGTTGAAACAACACATTTGCCACAGTGTATAATGCCTACCCTTAGAAGATTTTAGAGACCACTAAAAATTGAGTTACATGTTTTTAGAAAAGCACCACTTACAAAAGAATCCATGCTTCATGTTCACTAGTGTCTTTAACAGCTAAAAGCTAAAGCTAAAATCCTTAACAGCTGTTAAAGATTTTAGTGGTGTAGATGCTGGTTGAAAAGCTCCTGAGGTGCTTTTTGGACCTTATTGGCTCTTGTTTTGTGAAGCTGGTTTGAAGCAGAGCTTTAAGCCTCTGCTTTGTTCGGGGAATAATCGCCATGGGTCAAACGCTCTTCGGTTTCTTCCTCTTCCTCCGGTACCTGCATGTCAAAAGCATCCACGATTATCAAACTTATAAGCTACAAGACATTTTCATGAATGTTAAAAATGTTGTGACCATGTATTACTAAATAGCATTTAGTAATTTCTCTTTTTTTTAATCACGCGGCTCTGTGGAATACTTTATTCTGATTGGTCAATCGCTCCATCCTGCGGTATGTTGTTCCCCAATAACAACTGGTAAAAACGGATAACAGGCTCATCTGGTAACTTTACGCTTGCTAGGAAAGTTTTTTCCTCGTGAAACCTTTGCGTTTGGTGAGCAAATAAAATATTAAAACTCAAATCAACATTTTGTGTACAGATATTTAATTATGTCATCCAGGTATCTCAGACTCTCTCTCTCTCTCTACAAACGCAGCTGCTGCCATTTTTTTGACAATTGTTTTGTAAACTGTAATGTATTATAAAATAACAAACAGGTATGATTAAAAAAAATTATTTATGTGGCGAAATGCCATGTAATAAGTGTCATGACTGTACCTATCCCTTAAATGTCTGTCTAGTTTGAACTTCCCGCTTGCTAGCAAATACTTTAGTTTTCGCGTTTGCGTTTTAAAGAGCTAGTAAAATGTTTCAACTCAGATCAATTTTTCAGATCAATGTGGCAAGTAGCCATGTAATAAGTGGGATAATCCAGCTTCGCATCGGGGTCCTCATCACCCTGTCAAGGTTTATTCTGCGGTAACGACCGGCTGGATGTACATTATCCCTAACTTGACATACCTCCCAGAAGATTGAGTCATCAAAGCAGTTTTGGTCAGGTGGCTGTCCCAAAAATGGAATCTTCATAATCAGACCTGGAGGAGGTATGAACAATAATTTACTTTGTGTTTTTGTTTATACATTGTTATACTTTCTTTTTAAGTGGGTCAGTAACAAATAAAAAAATGTCCAAAAATCGAATTAAAATTCATGTGCCAAGTTCTTAAAAAAGTGTACTCTTAGAATTCATGTTGGTATATTATGGTTTTGTTCTGAATAAAATGAATTCAACCTGAATAAAAATAAATACATGAATACAATGTTTTGCAGATTTTATGGTGCTTGTACCTGTGATCAACCCCCCGACCAAAGCAAACCCTAGAGATGATGCCAAACCCCCTGCCTGATGAGCTGCTGAAACACTGGGACAAACAAGCACAGAGATATTAAAACCATTTATTGTCATACTAATAATAGCAAAAATCCCAAAACAAAATGTTAAGAGCTGACATCTACCCTTCTTTCTTATTCAGTGCTGCCGCCACAATGCCGGCAAGACCGCCTAGGATGCCCGGCATGCCGTGGAGGTTATGCACACCACAGGTGTCTTGAATTCCCAGTTTAGAGGCGAGTTTGGGCTGAGGAGAAAAAGAGATGGTGTTACGGTCCCACAAAGGATGGGTCAATATGCAATTGATTTATGGTACAGAGAAAGTCTGGGATGAGAAAGAATATCATACCGTGAGGAACTTAAAGCCAACGGTGGAGATGATGCCTGCAATGGTTCCGATCAGCATTGCTCCGAATGGCTGGATGTCCATGTCGGCGCAGGTACCCACCGCAACACCTCCAGCCAGCGTGGCGTTCTGAATGTGAACCTGTGCAACAGAATACAACAGGCTTAGTCAGAAGGCTTACTAAATGTGAGATCCTGTACAATAACAAGAGAATGGTGTGATGACCCACCATGTCAAGTTTCCCTTTCTTCTCCACCAGACTGGAGGTAGCGTAGGCAGCGAGAGTACAAGCAGCCAGAGAGAAATATGTGTTGATAACAGCTCTCAGTTGAGGATCACCAGGATATGCGATAGCAGAATTAAAGCTGGGCCAGAACATCCACAGGAAGACTGTGCCTACAGACCCAAAGAAGAGAGGAATGGTGAATGTACCTATACAGACACAATGCTTGATGAATTACATTTGCATGATCACATTTCTAAGCACATTTTTAGTGTTGGTATGCTTACCAAATCTTGCCCTGCATTTTAATTATTTGATTTGGGTATAAATGTTGTGAGCTACAGTTGAAACTTAATGTCACCACCAATATTTTCTACAGTTGTTTTGTCCACTAGATTTTCAGCAGGCATATATATTTTCAACACCAAGGTCTACACATACCGATCATTGCAAACAAGTCTGAGTGATAGACTGATCCGTCATTCTCATGGCCATTCCGAAGACCCGGACGGTAAAGAACACGAGCGACAGACAATCCAAAGTAAGCCCCAAAAGCATGGATGGTCATGGACGCACCAACATCAGAAACCTGTTATGAAACAAGAATGGTTATGAAGAACAGATTAAAGTGAGTTGACTCAAAGTTCAAAGTTGACTGCAGCTTTAAAGGGATTGTTCAATATTTACTCACGCTCATGTTGTTTCAACTCTATAAGACCTTCGTTCATCTTCGGAACACGAATTAAGATATTTTTGATGAAATCTGAGAGCTGGATCACTCCTGTATACTATTCCACAGGCTTCTTGAGGGATTGAAAAAGTTATTAAAGACATCGTTAAAATAGTCCAAGTGACTACAGTGGCTCAATCTTAACTTTATCAAGCGACGAGAACACTTTTTGCGCAAAAACAAACATAAATAACGACTTTATTTCAACTATTGATTTCCTTCTCTTTGGGTCTCTAGTCAGTTAAGCGTCACACGTAGGCTCACTAATGGCCGACGCTGGTCATGTGTGTGACATACAACAACAGATCAAAGGGATACTCCACTTTTTTTGGAAATAAGCTCATTTAACTCCCTCAGAGTTAAACAGTTGAGTTTTACCGTTTTTGAATCCATTCAGCCGATTTTCTGATATCTGGTATCCTACTATGGAAGTCAATGGGACCAGAAACTGTCTGGTTACTGATATTCTTCTAAATATCAGAACATCGGCTGAATGGATTCGAAAACGGTAAAACTCAACTGTTTAACTCTGGGGGAGTTGTAAAATGAGCCTATTTCCAAAAAAAAGTGGAGTATCCCTTTAAACTCGAGGCCCAGAGAGAAGGAAATGAATAGTTGAAACAAAGTAGTTTTTTTGTTTGCATTTTTCACACAAAAAGTGTTCTTGTCGTTTGATAAAGTTAAGATTGAGCCACTGTAGTCACTTGGACAATTTTAACAATGTCGTTAATAACTTTCCGAGGCCGGCAAGTTTCAATCCCTCAAGAAGCCCATGGACTAGTATGCAGGAGTGATCCAGCTCTCAGATTTCATCAAAAATATCTTAATTCATGTTCCGAAGATAAACGAAGGTCTTCCAGGGTTGGAACAACATGAGGGTGAGTAAATACTGACAGAATTTTCATTTTTGGGTGAACTATCCCTTTAAAGATGAAACAGACTTGAAACTACAGATGAAATTTAGCTTGTAGCTAATTCTGGTATGGCTGCATGCCATACACTGTCCCTGTTAAATAAATATAACAATAAAGATGCTGTATGCGATTTTTAGCGACCTCTAGCGGTGATGTCTCAAAATGCAACAAGAGCGCTCGTGCTCGTGTGCGTGCTCAATCTCAAGAGTGAGCAATCACTACCAGCCACACAGAGACTTTCAACGTGACGGCGAAATCATCGCACAACATGCCGGAAACTAATGTAAACTCCTACTGCAGGTACAATAATAGCCTAACTTACTTTTATCAGCTTGACGTTGAACTAATGCTCTGCTCGTACCATGATAATGTTACAATAAACTGCATTTAGCCGACATTTGATGTTATATAGCAGCCATTTCTCTAACTATTCGTGTATCTTTCACAATCAGCAATGTCAACATCGGTGAATGTATAATATGATAACGAAAACGGTTAGTGAACTAAACTGAACAGTTTCAGTGTATCAGTAAGATCGTAGGAAGTAGGGCTAACAATACTGTACTGAACTTGTCTGGAAATGTGTATAAACAATATGGTAGTGGGTAGATCTAGTAAATAAAATAAGTTACATACTAAATGTTATACTAATATTATCCTGGAACATTCTTTTTTTGTATTCATGTCATGTTTCATGTAGTTTACCTTGCTATTTCACTTGAGTTTACTATGTTGATCCGCGTTTTCGTCCGGAGTCGATCAGATTCACGTTTTGCCTGACGAGCTTGAGCAGATAAATCTTTTTTTGTTTTTTATATTTATGTGGAGTTTGTGTTTGAGTCTGTGTTGTGCTGGAGGCAGGATGTTTTGGTGGATGCATGATAGACTGTAGAATAGAGAGGCTCGGGAGCGCGCATGCACATCACATCTGATGGATTTCACAGGAAATCCGACCCGGAGACCTCGCATATAAATAATTGGCCTTCAGAGATAATGGCAAAACCCGAAAAGTGGATTGTTGCAATGTATGATTACAACCCCTTTAAACACAGCGAATAAAAAAGGATTCATTTTATAAAAATAGTTACATATAGAACCTTTAAGGTAAGGTTTAATTATATTGTAGCGGTGCCATCACTGTTCAATATCAGATTCATCATTTATTTCCTTTATTCCCAGGTAATCCAGGCTCTGTATCTTCTTCATGACTGAGAGGGTGCTCATGATAGTGTTTGTTTTAGTTCTTATTAGAACATTGGGTGTGTTCATCAAGTTTATCCTGTAAACTTTAGGAAGGAGATCTTTTAGGAAGGAGATCTTCATCTTTGACCCAGCTTCCTTTTGTAACATAATGACTTTTTCAGGAACTCAGACAGCATGATCATGTATTAATGGAACTCAACCAAATTAAAAGTAGTACTAAAATTATGTATAATGTGTAACCTACACTAAACCCTTGATGCAAATCAAGTCAGTGGTCAAATGAGAAAGGAAGAGGCGTTACGCTGATTCCCCCCAAAACACTGAAATGACAAATTAAGTAAATAAACGAATGACCCTTTACAAACCCCAAGAATTTCCACAACCACATGCTCATTGATGCAGAATATGGTGATCTCCAACAAGGTCATGATGAGAAGCTGGACAGGGCTGGTTTTCCCCAAAACCGCTCCAAACGAGATCAGAACTGTTGCTGTACTGAAGTCAGCATTGATCATTCTGTAGAGGAATTATGGGACAGATGCAGAGTTTTACTCATCGGCATATGTAGTCAGATATCTATTTCAAGTTTAATTAAGTTAAATGTAACTTTAACTTTTTTGTTGAATAATACAATACTGAGCAGTTATATTAAGTCAGTCACCCAAGATCCTACGGTCACCAAAAGGATGAGTTTACCTATCAATGCTGACTCTTATTTTTCCATCATGCAAGTGCCAGATGTTCTGGAGGAGAAGACCCCACTGCAAGCCAAAGGCAGCCAGCAACAGGTTGACGCCCACACTGCTGAAGCCATATCTCTTTAGGAAGGTCATCAAGAAACCAAACCCAATGAAGATCATCACGTGTACATCCTGAAACACTGGACACATGGATAAAAGGTTGATGAGAGAGTGGCTTCTCCACATCTAAAGCCTGAAGTTACTCACAGCATTTGAACCACATTTACACATTTACATTTACCCAATGAAAAGGTGAAATACCAACCCGATCTCACGGGAATTCGTACCAATTTTTTACAAGGTGGCTAATTCGTAACAAATCGTACGACCTCACTCGTATGAATTAGTACGATTTTGCTAAATCGTACATATTTTACGAATTAGCCAATTCGTATGAATTTGTACGAATGACCTACCCCTGACCCCGCCCCTAAACATAACCGTCACGTGGGTTTAGACAAATCGTACGAATTCGTACGAGTGAGGTCGTATGAATTAGTACGAATTAGCCACTTTTGAATCACTCGTGCGAATTGGTCGTGAGATAGCGTAGGAAATACAGCAGTGATTTACAATTCTGTTCATCACACAAAGCTATTTCATGACTTAAGAAATGTAACAAACAGATTGAATGAACAAAGTTTAGGATATTTAACTATTTTTGTCTCTGGTGTTAGAGCTCGAGAAGAGCTTAAAAGTCTGTTTAAGAGTAAACCTTGCAAATTTGTAACGCTTTATGTTCATCAGCCAAAAACCATGTGGAACAAAGGTCTTGTGTGCTCTTCTATTAGTCTATGAATGACAGGTTAAGAAGGTGGCCTAAGTGACCCTGTTGGCGTGTGTAATTTTATTCACTTCACATGACTCTAATGAGCGTTAAAATGTACTCATTCCATGATTAGTTACATTCAAGCAATCCAGCCTGTTTAGTGCCCTAACTGTCTACAACACGACAAGCCCTATGTGTTTGAAGTGGCTTTCCATGTTTCAGAAAGCGTTGACTGGGCACTGCACATGCAATGTAATGCACATGTAAGCAAATATGTGACCCTGATTGCAAAGTTTAAAGTCCATATAACCAGAACTTTCAGAATCTGAAACAGGTTCATTTGGATTGCCAAAAAGCATAAACACACCCAGAGATTTGCAGTGACAAAGCAAGTCAAGTTAAGTATATTTATATAGCGCTTTTCACAATACAGATTGCATCAAAGCTGCTTCACAGTATCAATCAAGACAACTTAACAGTGTTTGTTTAAAGCAACCTAAAATCATCTGTTTTCATGAATTATACTGCCAATTGGGAATGGAAACCATGTCAGAAATTGTGAAATACAGAATAATAATTTCATGAGAACATGAAATCATGACTTTTGCGTAAACATACGCAGCACTTTCAAGTCAAGTGGCGTATTATCTATACGCATTTTGAGCTATCCGCGTGTACGTCCACACCGTTTAACGTCCGTGTGTATGTATACGCCGTTAAATATCCGAGTGAAATGAAGCAAAATGTAGATCTACATCTGGGGCGCGATATTTTTTTTCCTAGGATGGTAGGGGAAGACTCATAAATGCTTTAAACCCCAGTGATGGGTAGGTTTAGGGACGGAGTTGGGGTAGGTCATTTATTTATATATAATAAAGAAAAGAGATTATACATATTGATAGTATATGCCAAAAATGGAAATACGAATTGGTGTGTCATACATACGCCATTTCATGAGATCAGTCCGCATGATGTGTATTATATTGCTGCATTTTATTACTTTCTGGCAATTCATCCAGGGTGTTTCCCTGCTGGGATTAGGATGGCTGTAGTACACTCTAAAAAATGCTGGGTTGTTTTAACCCAATTTTGGGTCAAATATGGACAAACCCAAAATGCTGTGTTAAAAATGTAATGTAAAAATTTAACCCAACGGCTGGGTTAGTCCATATTTGACCCAAAGTTGGGTTAAAACAACCCAGCATTTTTTAGAGTGTAAGTGAATTACAGCAAATGGATTGCTTTTCAAGAGAAGCGAGGAATTGCTATCTATTGTAAATAGATACAATTGGGCCTATACATATGTAAACAAAAATGGTATGAATGGTATTCTTAAATGCACACATTGATTGTCTTAGTAACACATAGCACCAACACTGCTGGCCTTAGCCCATCTTTCCTGCAGAGAGGAAACGAGCTCTACACTTTCCAGCTCAGGAAGCTGTCCAGTCAACATCCCTGGACATAGAGATAGGATATGGTCCAGAACACCTGATTCATCAGCAAGGCACATTTTCAGACTACACAATGCAAACCATATCATTTTCCCCCTATTGATAATAATCAGACACATTAATAATTGTCAGGAAGTTTAAACGGTTCTCATCGTCAGTCTCAAGAGAGACAAGTGGAACTGCGAAGCGTGAACTTGGCGAAGACTTTCAATAGGCGAACATTACTTCAGGCTTCCTCGGAATGCCTCTGAAACCCTCCACCCATTCAGTAATCCTCACAAAATCTAAACTTGCCAGTGGACAAACCCAAATAGTCATCAATCATAGTGCTCATGGTCTGACATCTGCTAAGCTCATCAAGATAGGCAATGAACCCTGCAAGTACTACCGACTAAGCTTATAGAGGCACTTTTATTTGCGTAATTTTATAGCTTCCTATATATTTTTATTGCTTGCTCTCTTCATAAACGATCATATCCTCATTTTATAACATAGTCCATGCTGACAGCAGACGCGTACAAAGAGTTATACGACGATACAGTAAAAACAGACTAAACAGGAAAACTTCAGATAAATATGCAATGATTAAAAATCAGCAAAGTTCAGTCTTATCTTGCTATGCGAGCCATCAAAAAACAAACAAACAAGAGAACGTGATCCATAACTGCATGCACTCTATTCTCAATGGTCATTTTTTGAAGTTTCACAGAAATCATCTCAACAAAGGATCCTCCAAAATTTGATAGGATCTAGCTGTTATATCACCACAGCCCTTCCCACCCTCCTTGCTTCCAAGTGGTACCGCAGTGGTGTTTCTACTTTGTATTCAACCAATCGTCACTAGTCTTTGATGGTTGTTGAGCAATAAAATGCAGTCTTGCTGAAACCCCCCCGAAAAACATTTAAGTGGGCCTCTGACACAGCTGAAACAGAGGTTATCTACCCTTATCAGCTGTTGTATGACCCAAGTCTTTCCCTCTGATCTTTCTGTTGAAAACATATTTACAGTGATAGAGTCGGCTAAAGGACTTTTCACTGGCTATTTAATGCATGCTTACTTTGGAAGAGCATCATAGAAGAATACAGATCAACTTGCCGGCTGAGTAAAGGTGCACAATCCATTTTTCCCAACCATTGGCTCTTACAACAAACAGAATCATTTTCCCAGTAAAATTTTTCGTATTTCCCACATGCAACAGATTTTGCTGATAAAATCTCAAAGGTCCCATTTTCCTAATGGCTGGAAAGTTTCCTCTCTTCGCGAACGTTCAACAACATAATTACATTCTGTCAGCGCTAATTTAGAGCGCTGTGACATAACTTAAGCTATATCTGTTTTCTCTGCTGCCAAGATTAAAGTGCCTCTTTTTTCTTTTCTTTGAAGCTTTTCTCATTCATTTTTGGAATGCTTTGCATGTTTGTACAAAACAGATGGCCTCAGTCTTCCCAGTCTATCAACACATATGCTTTGTGTTTTTATGTAATTTTCATGTTTTCTTTTAATAGTTTTTAAAGGTCATCATGTTCATTGGGTGGCAAAGAATTTGAATGCTCTAATACAGGGGTTCTGAACTTTGGCCCTCGAGGTCCACTTTCCTGCTGAATTTTGCTCCAAGCCTAATTAAACACACCTGAACAATCTTGTGGAGGTCTTCAGGATTATTAGAAAGTTACAGGCTGGAGCTAAACTCCACCAATGGCATTAACATTAAAGTTCAATGTACTTGTAACTTTAAGAACAACCCGAGCGTCTTCCCAGCAAACAAATTTAGGTTCTGGGAACGTTAGTTTTTGGTTCCCAGAACGTTCCTAGAACTTTCCCTTAAAGGGTTAGTTTGAGAGCTGTCTCACTACCACATCGGCTGCCTTAGGGACTGGCTCTTGACGTCAATGAAGAAAATGTTTAAATATCCCATGTGACTACAGTGGCTCAACTATAAGTTTATCAAGCGACGAGAATACTTTTTGTGCGAAAAAAACAAACAAAAAGAACGACTTTATTCGACTATTCCTTTTCTTCCTTGTTGGCCTGAAACGAGACTTCCTTAGATTTCCACGACGGATGCGCGAGAAATGAACTGAAGTAATTGAAGGAGATCGCAATTCTCGCACATGCGTCGTGGAAATCTAAGGAAGTCTCGTTTCAGGCCAATAAGGAAGAAAAGGAATAGTCAAATAAACTCGTTATTTTTGTTTGATTTTTCGCACAAAAAGTATTCTCGACGCTTGATAAACTTATAGTTGAGCCGCTGTAGTCACTTGGGATATTTAAACATTTTCTTCATTGACTTTCTGGGCCGTCAAGAGCCAGTCCCTTAAGGCGGGCATACACTGTGCGATGTCTGTGCGATTTCAGCAAGGTACCTACGAGTCACACTCAACGAGTAAATCGCATGCGATGCAAAGCCAAAGTTCAGGATTTATGTGCTCACACTGTACGGTCCGATCGTCGAGCCGCGATTTCACTGCTCACACTATACGTGTAATATCTGCGATAACCCCCTGGATTGCGCCTATAGGCTAGACGTGTATGTATCCAGAGATATTGTCAAAACAAGCATCTGCTATCCATATCAAGATGATTTAGCATTTTCAGTTTATGCATTTAATTTTTATAAGTATTATTGTATTATAATTATTAGGGGAGGCCTAGGCTAATTTTATTATTAAATTGATCCGCTATTATTGTAATTAATTTGCCGCGCAATATTTTCACGAACGTGCTGTGAGGATAATAAAATATTACATAATCTTACTCCTCATTAAAAATTGTCTAAAACATTTCGGTCGATAACAATGAATTATAGGCATATAAAATAGCTATTAAAAGTCTATATGTCCAAACATTGCCATAATTATCATCAATGAAAATTAAAAACAGGTTTATTTCAAAAACATTGTTTAACAAATTAATAAAAGAGGTGTTACATCGCAGGTGGCTTGGAAGACGTGGGTAATATGATCCATTTTGCAACACGAACTGGAGGTAAGCAACAGTAATTTGTAGCTAGTTTGAACTACAGAACTTAAAGCTCTCCCTCTTTTCGTTTTTATTTAAATTTTTTTTTTTTGCTGCAGATGAAATGGTTAAACTTCTGTTTTCGCGCAGGCGCAGTGAGGGAAAAAACACTGAGTTTAGGGCAATCGGTTCGTAGCGTTGCTTCAACTGTGCGATATATCACGAGGAGCGACCAAAATTTCTGACATGCCAGAAATTCATCCGGCCATCCGATTGTCGATCGTGAGAGGTTAATCGCCTCTCGTTTCTCCCTGTACACTGCACGAACACTGCACGACAAACGACGCATGACAAAGCTGAAAATCGGCCCGACACGAAAAAGAGTCGCACGAGTCAGAATTCGGCTCAAAATCGGACGAAAATCGCACAGTGTATGCCCGCCTTTAGGCAGCCAATGTGGTAGTTATACAGCTCTCAAATTTAATCAAAAATATCTTCATTTGTGTTCCGAAGATGAACGAAGGTCTTATGGGGTTGGTACAGCATGGGAGTGAGTAATTAATGACTTAATTTTCATTTTTGGGTGAACTAACCCTTTAAGGTTAAGGGAACGTTCCCGGAACATTCTCCCTACGTTACAAATTGAACCTATAAAAAACCTACACGGAACGTTTATATAACCCTCTTGTTTGGTTCCCAAAAAATAACCTCATAGGACCATTCAGGAACTTTAGGGGAACGTTCTGTGTTTGCTGGGTTTCTAGCACGCATGTGTGTTGTCGTGTAATTTATACAGTATGCTATGATATGCATTGGTTGGTTGGGGTGGGGTGCGTGTGTATTATACGTTTGGGTAGAATTAGTGGTGTGGAGTGTGTGTGTATTACACACAAATCAAATGCACGCAAAAAACTGCATTTCATATGCACGTAAAAACTCATTTTCGCGTATAAATTACACAACAATACACGATGCGTGTTATCGAGACGCATTTACGTGAGAACAGGCCGTTAAGAAAATTACGCAAGTTACACATTTTGAAGGGTTGAATGGAAACTTTGAGGACACATGTGACATTGAGACTAATCTCGCATGTTCATCCTCTCCACACCCTAGAGCTGGATTCAGTCCAAACCGTGTCCAAGCAAACTATACGAGTGCATTTTGAAGATAAAAGGAAATTAGGGTATTTTACAGCCAATGCATGACATCTCTGCAAATGAGCATAGCATGCAGAGAAAAATTAAGGAATGCACAAAATGTAAGGAAATGTACAGACTGAATGAATAATTCCTTTCATAAGGAAACAAATTCTCTATATCAGTGGTGCTCAGATGGTCACAACCCAAAATAAACAAGCTTATCAACGTTTTTAGGGCGAGGAGAGAATGTTTCCTTTAGTTGTTGTCAATGATGTACGTCCAATCAAACTCTACAGTATTTTATTTCTACTGTGTAAAATCTACACAAATGCCAGCATGAATATAACATTGAAAACTATTAACAAAACTATGCAAGGAAAAAAATTAGATCCAGACTATGTTACAGACACAAACTCTGCAGTATTTTGGTTCAAATTTTTTTGGACATGTTAAATATCGAAAACCGTTAAAACTGTATGTTTCCAATGTGCAATTATTGGCAGTTGAGAGTATGAACCCATACAATAAAAATTCAATGCAATTAGATCCAAATTGGTCAGTTTTTATATCCAGCCTACAGTATGTCTTGTTAATAATTTTATAATTTGATAATGTTCATAGTAGCATTCATTTTTTTTTTAAAATGTTTAGTCCTACAGACATTTTGTTTTGTTTGGACATTCAATAATTTTGTACTGTATTGAGTCACCAGTTAATGTCCAGTGTACGATCTGGGCTCCTGAACCAGAAGCAATAGAAACGCTTGATGGATGACATTGTTAAAATACTAAAAGCTGAACTTTATCAACCTCTCCTCTTTGTCTTTCTCCCGAGAATGCAGGATCCCGTGGCATTGACTCCTCTCCAGAGGGAGTATTTTTAGAGACTTGCGTGCCGAATGAACATTAGTGAAACATTGCCGCCAAAGCCTTCGCAGAAATAAACCCTTCAGTCAGTGAACGCTGATGAGTGAGTATCACCATGAAACTCAATAGCAAAGTTGTCAGCTTAAAAGAGGATGAATTCATTTGCAGGACGGGTGACACCAATCAAACTTAATTTTACTATGCTTATGGTGACTGACAATTAACAACATTTCTGCACCAATCACAACCAATTTTCAACTCTATCTTCCATATCTGACCCTTAAAAATGCATTCACTGCATAACCTGATCTGTTCTGCTTTTGTCAGTGAAATTCCAATACATTCCAATAAAAGTTTAGACTTAATTAAAACCACAACAAGACCTGATCTATGCACAGATATATTTTAATCTAACAGATACTTACTGGGATAAAGGGTCATTGGACTGTCTGGATGAGTGTTATTCTCTTCTCCATGATGACCCCCACCATGAGCATCACCGGTGTCATAAACCACAAAGACAGCGTACAGGACAATGGTCACGGCTTCCAGTATCAAGGCCAGAATGGGGAACTTGAGCCTCATGTTGGTGGAGTACGCTGGCATGTTTTAACCAATTCTCTGCCTCTGTAGTTGTTCCTCTTTTGGTGATTCTCCCTCTTGTTTCGACCCCTCTCACTCTCCACGCTGTTTGTGACTTGTGGGGGGAGTGTAGAAAGTGGCATGTGGTTTTGAATTGGCTGCAGACTTTAGGAAGACCAATGAAAAGAGAGACAATTGAGGTGGGGACGGTCACCGCCTGTTGCCCTGGGTTTCCTCTCTCCTCCTACTTATGTCAATTAAGAACAGTGGTGTAAATGCAAATATATATATATATATATATATATATATAAAGCTTATATGTCTCTTTAGAGAACCACAAATATGGGAACTATTGCAAGATGTGCAGCACTTTAATTTGGATTTCATGGTATTTTAACACATGGCTGGTTACACATCTTAAATTTAAAATGTTTAGCCTGTAACAAATCATGATGAGTTAAAATGATGAATTTGTTGTTTACAATATTTCTGTCATGAATGTTGTGGTAAACATCATGCAGGGAGAAGGCAGTATAATTAAACAGTCTAAAAACATGCAGGAGAATTAAAGGAGGAATATCTATCAAACCACTCATCAAACATAGACACAAAGGGTTAGTTCACCCCAGAATGAAATTTCTGTCTGTAATTACTTACCCTCATATTGTTTGACTCAGAAACAACGACTCTGAAAAAGATTTGTTCATTTTGATGAACGAGTTCGAACAGGAGAGTCACAAACGTGCATCACAGAACAGAGCAAGGCGAGCATTTGAGCTTATAAAACTTAAACTTTGTTATTTATTTATTAAATGAGTGATCGTTTCGCTTGATAAGACCCTTATTCATCGCCTGGAATCGTTTAAAGCCCTTTAAACAGTTTGCAGTTTGCACTGAAAGTGTCTTTTGGACCTTGAACCGTTTGGTTCCCATTGAAGTCCATTATATGGAGAAAAATCCTGGAATGTTTTCATCAAAAACCTTAATTTCTTTTCGACTGAAGTAATAATGACATGGATATCTTGGATGACATGGGGGTGAGTAAATTATCAGCAAACGTTTTTTTTTTTTTTTAAAGTGAACTACTCCTTTAAATCTGAGAGCTGGATAACTCCTCCATAGGCTTTCTTAACCCTTTAATCAACCAAGAACTGAACAAAACAGTGAGTATTTTTACAGAAAATAACTTGGTAACTCTTTACAATATGGGTGCACTAATATGCATTAATTCATGCTTAACTAATACACAGATAATCATGAGTTAATGTATAACTCATGAATAACTAAACCATTAATTAATGATTATTGCATCAGCAAAGAGTCAATATGATTAAAAGATTAAGTAATACATGAATTGCTATTAATTCAATGTGTCATTGTGTATTAATTCCTTAATAACATATTTTATTAACTAATAGTATCAATAGTACTAATGTGGTAGTTAATTGTGTTAACTACCACAATTAGTCAAAGCTATGCATAACTTCCAGTTGTCTGCTTTAATTAATCATTAGCTAATGATTTGCCAAGGTATCATTATGTTACGACTTTACTTGATGGGGCACATCATTTAGTAATTGTAATTTGCACATGAATTTGCACTAACAATGAAGTAATTAATCATGTATTAATGCATATTAGGGTACCTCAGGAAGTTGAAATTCAAGGCTTTGGCTCATTCTGGTAATTAACATATTAATTAACACTATTAGTTAAAAAATGATTTATTATGGAATTAATCCACAATTACATATTTAATTAAAATCAATTCATGTATGAACTAATACATTAACCTTACAGACTCTTAATTAGTTCCTAATGTGGTAATCATTAATGAATAGCTTAGATAATCATTAGTTACACATCGATTCAGTATTATGCTTATTGGTGCACCAGTATTGTAAAGTGTTACCAATAACTTTTTATTGCTTTTGGCCATTCATTTACACAACAACAGCGTTTTAGGGGCCTGAAAACGCAAACTTTTGAAAACGATACCATTTATTGTCAATTGCAAAACATGCAAATTTGTGAAAAAGGTGACATCATGCGCATGTGACATCACCAACTACTAGCCTAGCATTACTATTACAGCATTTTAGTTGTTTTCATGGATCCATGTTATTGGGAAGCATTTTGACAACGTTGTCGTCTGTAAACGAAGACGAAAAGATGAAAAAAACACGAATGAAAAACTGGTCTGTTTTTTTTTTGTACACTGCATCACGTAAACGTACCTCTAGACACATGAACGAACAGACAATTAAACTAAACAGAATCCTATGTTGTCATTCCAAAGTTGCGAATTTAAGTCATGCAACAAAATTGGAATATTGCATAAAACATTTGCGAATAAAGCAGTGTTTCCATCCCATGTGTTCAAGAGAATAAAACCATTACTTCCTGGGAAATTGGCTCAGAATACCTGTAATAAAAATGCAAGTTTCTGCAATTGGTTAAGAAACTATGGCTCTTTTTTCGTACATCATAAATGATTTTCCTACAGACAAAATAATAAAACTTATCTACTGGTTAATAATCACATTCACTGTTGAGGCAAAGTCTTGTGACTTTTCAAGGGATTTATTCAGTAAATGTGCTTTCATCATAGTTTATATGCATTCTTAATTAAAAAATGTATCCGCCTCAATTGAACGCATGCGTTTTTAAAATTTCATCCTGGTGTTTTCATCCAGCATTTTTTATGCAATATCCAAAATAAAAATAGGCGGATGGAAACATCAACAATTAGGCCTACTCTTTAATTCTCTTTTACATTGCTTTGGATTTATGTATTTTTGGTTCCTCTTTTAGGCTGAACACACCCTGGAGTTTGAGAGTTGAGTAGTTAAGCGTGGAGAAAGATGTTGTTGATAAAGTCATTTGGTTTTCACTTCCTAAATATAGAAATGGGCCGTTGTACATCACAATGTAAAGAGTAAAAACATCTGTAGAGCAACAAACAGGGATTTTTCGAGTTAGATGCGTTCCTGAGTCAACAGATTGTGTTGATCGGAACAACATTTCTTTCCGAAAATGTCATGCTTACTATATCCCTACCCATACCCCTAACCATATCCCTATACATTATCCCTAAAATCAGTGGGAAATTATAAGAGAATAACACTGATGTAGAAGCACTTAACCCTGTAAGCCTAAAAAATTGTAATCTTGTCCCTCGATTTGATTGGTTGATTGGAATGTTGATGGAAAGATGTTGATCCAGGAACATGTTGCACTTGGTGAAACCTCAATCTGCTATAATTTTAAAACTGATTTAAATAGACAAATAGAAAAGAAAAAAAACAATATGAAACAGTAAAAACTCTTTAATCCATAACACTTTCATGAGAAAAAAGAAAAAACTCAGCTAGCTGTAAAATTTCGATGAGTTGTAATATTGTTTGAATTACGAATGATAACTCATGATCACATGATGGATGAAAAAGACTAATGCTGCCTTCAAGTCCATCTGGAAAATACGTACCTCCAAATCCAGCATTCAGGTCAGAAAAGTAACATGGCAGTCATCTAAAATACAAAAGAATTGTAATGTGAAATATAAGACCAATTAACTATTTATGAATTCAAAATTTCCTATCACTTCCAGTATTTAAACATTATCATAACTAAATGTGAAGTATAAAGTTGAGTGAAGTCGCCATGAAAAGCAAGTTGCAATAGACTTTTCTTCCCTTTTGTGATGTACAGTACATCCAAGTGAAATGGCTTCTTGAACAAGAAAAAGTGTAGAATGGGACTTGATTTTGTCCACCAGGAACTGATTGGATGGTTGTGGTTTGCTATTAGTCGATCTCATGTGAGAGACAGGTTGCCCCGCCCTCACGCCAGTGAACAAGTCATGACATTGATTTTCATTTAATCAATAATATTTTTTCTACTGCAAGTAATGATGTAACAGTATTCATTTTTGAAGGATTTATGTAGATGTACAACCTCAGAGGCCCTTTATGTATCATTTTATGGCTTTTTAAAGGGATACTCCACTTTTTTTTGGAAATAGGCTCATTTTACCACTCCCCCAGAGTTAAACAGTTGGGTTTTACCGTTTTCGAATCCATTCAGCCGATTTTCTGATATTTAGGAGAATATCAGTTACCAGACAGTTTCTGGTCTCATTGACTTCCATAGTATATTTTTTTCCTGCTATGGAAGTCAATGAAACCAGAAACGGTCTGGTTACTGATATTCTTCTAAATATCAGAAAATCGTCTGAATGGATTCGAAAACGGTAAAACTCAACTGTTTAACTCTAGGGGAGTGGTAAAATGAGCCTATTTCCAAAAAAAAGTGGAGTATCCCTTTAAGAGAATCAGGCACCCTTGGAAGATACCACAAATACATATATTAGACCATGATGTGTTCAGTTCCTGGAAGAAAATGTTTGCACCCGATGGGATGATGGCAGCTATGAGCAAGCTGAGTCTGTACAGAGATTGTGGGTCACTGAATCATTAACCAGTCGCCCCTTTCAAAGGATTCTCCAGTCTCTGTTTCTTACCCAGAATCCCATCATGCAAAGTTCTCAGGGTTTCCTGACCTCTTTAGTAAATCACAGCTCTCGCAGTGTTGACTGTTATATACCACAGCACTGCAGGCGTGTCACGAGCTTGAAATAATTAACCCACATTCCTCCCTATAGAATTCCAAATAAGTTGCACGCATACTTTGCATGATGATGGAGATACTTAGGATTTCTGTATATTATTACATGAAGCATATAACATGTCATCATATTTGACGTTGGCCTCATCAATGGTCTACATTTGACCGGTAAAAGAGTTCAGACGTTAGATGAGAGAAGTCAGGGCTGTGATGGCAGATTAGTTGGGTGTATGTGATATAACCCAGCACTGGTTCACTGTGTGGGAATGGTATGTCTATACGAGCAGCTCTCCTATATCACACATCATGCATCTCATAGTAGACTGGATCGCCTCTGATTTATTGTATCCTTCTTGGAAGAAATGCATGCAGAAAAAAAAAGAGATATACAATTTAAACATTCCTGTGTGTTTGTCACAGAGGCAAATTACTCCAAAACAACACTTAGAGTAAACATGGGGTGGAGTTGACAAACTTCCCAAAGACAACTCAATGGCTCAGTGTTAAAAACAT